TGGAGTATGCAGAAATTAGTGGCATTACTGAAGTAAACACCGCAATCAAACTATTACCATCATGTTGGACTTTTCGCCATATTTTCTGACAAGATCCACACACACGGCTGTCAATAAAGGACCACACACACACACACCTCGTGAAATGCGGAAGTTTTTTCTTTCCATTTTGCGCACGTTATTAAACTCCATTACACTCTCACCAGTCCTCACTCCTTATTTGCGTCTAATAGCCCAGTTTGTCACGGAGGCATGAATGAAATGTTCATGAGTGAATGTGAAACTGCCGAACTGCAGGTGAAGTCACTCAAAATGACAGGAAACTCTTACATTAAAGCACTTCACGTAAACACCTTCATTATATTATTGTCTATTAAGGCGAATAACTCGATTACTGATGTTCATGTTAGAGTAGTCAGTAGTGTTTTAGAAGTAAGTAAAAGATCCAGAAGGTCATCCTGCTGATTTGATTCAGAAGGGCACTGTTTTGTCAGACGGCTCACCAGTTTAACTTTCATTCACCATCATTCATTTTAAAAAGCACCTGCTCCAATTTATTTGTATCTGTTTTACTGGAACGCATAAACTCTACAGGTGCCTGATGTGGAGCTGACATTAATCAGATTTACTTTAGTGAACTGCATCCATGTAAGCACGTCACGCTTGATGTGGTAATTTCACAGTAGGAATACACACAGGTTCGAAGACTCCTATAGTGCAATTCGGTCAGGTATACATCCGCGCTAAAATATCAAGGTGAAAGTCATCATAGCTTGCGTAGAACAGACCCAGCTCCCAATCCAACTCTGAGAATAGATTAACAGCGATATTTTTTTAATTGCCTGATAAGATTCTCGGGTTAACGCAGCACGTTAATGGCAATAACGGCCCACCACTAGTAATATATATTATTAAGGATTCACAGTGAATGAAAAATGTTGTTCAGAATGACTTTCACCGAGTGTGTGTGTAAGTGTGTGTGTTTGCGTGCGTGTGTGTGTGCGTATGTTTGAGAGAGATTAAGGTGCAACACACACTCATCTTTTGAACTGTTACAGAGTGTTTGTGATGCTGTGAGTGTGTGTTAACGTGTGTGAGTGTGTTTGTCCATGTCATGACTGATACAGTTCTGGAAAAGTGAGTCGTGACAGAGAGAGAGAGAGAGAGAGAGAGAGAGATGGAGGAATAAATGAGTGCATTCCTCTCTCTTTGATGAGGAGCAGGCGGGTGCAGCTCTGGACCAATGACTGTAAAAAATATGGACGACGCGACAGCCCTTTTTCCCATTGAACGCCTTGAGGGCAAAACGCCTGCTTGACGGGCACAAACTGTCGCAAAAGACTGCTGAAATTAGAGCCAGACATGCGCAGAAGGATTGTCTGATGGAGCCAGAGGAGAAGCCGCGAAAATGAGCAGAGTCGAGCTTCCAATCAAACGCTTTATGTAAAATCAACCACGCCCCCGAACTTCTCAGCATGCGTTTGCTGTCATATCAACACAAATGGATGTAATAACGTTAACAAATATGAGGGGTTTATATATTCAATCGCGCCAGCTCCAGGCCGCAGCGCATAACTTACTCGCGGCGTCGCGGGCTGATTCCGGCTCGCATGCGGCAGCGCCTGCTCGCTCGGCCGCCGCATCTGGCTCGATTGACTCGGGCTGGAATTGGGTAGTGAGTCCAGGCATCCGGAGTAGGTCCAGCAGAGGTAAGTTAACATTAGTTAGTCTGAGCTCTAAGAGATAAGTCTCCGGCAGGCGAGAATCTAGCCGGAACTGTGTTTTGCTATCTGGGTGGTTAGGCGTGTATCAGCAAACTAATAAAGCCCGAAAAAAGCCCTGAACTTAGCGAATAAACAGTGTTCCACCAGGATCATGTATGTCAGAAACTATAGTTTACTGCTGAACTCATTTTGTCATGGTAAAATAACACAGAAATCGAATAATAACATTTCAGTCTACTTCAGTCTCCTGCCGAAGCTCAGACGCCGCGCTTTGAGAAACTGTCAATCACAGCTGTCAATCACGATGACACGCCCAGCATTAAATTACTGCTAAAAACAAACTGTTTACAAAAATGAAGATCTGCACCTATTTCAGCACAATAACCAGTGCCTTAATCGACCAGAACTATCTTTCAGGACATTTTATTGCAAGTGTAATATTTTTTTTTATTTGGGCTCAAGTCTCCTTCATTAACACAGAGGAGGCGGGCTTTATGACTTGTACTGCAGCCAGCCCCCAGGGGGCGATCTAACGGCCGAAACCTTCACTCAAACGTAGGCTTGCGGCACACTTGCTCTGGACGTGACAGAAAGGCTCAATTATACATGAAGAGAGGAGGAAAAAGTGCCTCTCATTCCACAATTGGACAGAACATTAGATACTAGGTTAAATATAATAGTGTATACCAATAGAACTAAATATACTGATAGAGCTACTTATAGAACACATACAGTTGAAGTCAGAATTATTCACCCCCCTTTCAACTGATTTATCTTTTTTTAAATATTTCCTAAATGATGTTTAACAGAGCAAGGACATTTTTACAGAATGTCTGATAATATTTTTTCTTCTGGAGAAAGTCTGATTTGTTTTATTTCGGATAGAATAAAAGCAGTTTAAATATTTTTTGAACACCATTTTAAGGACAATATTATTAGCCCCTTTAAGCTATATTTTTTCGATAATTTACAGAACAAACCATCATTATACAATAACTTGCCTAATTACCCTAACCTTAGTTAACCTAATTAACCTAGTTAAGCCTTTAAACTAGGAAGCTCCAGTGCCCCAGCAAGTGCACCGCTGTGATCGATGACTCTCGCTTGTTTATTAATGCCTGTGACAGCGGTGACGTAATTTTGACAGTGAAGTGTCGCTGTTTGATTTGTACTCGTAATCAGGTCTTCATGTCCGTGGTGAAACTGTATTTTGTGTTTGTTAACCAGTTAACCTCTGCTGTTATTTTGGGATTTCCGCCTGGATTGTGCCTACCCAAATTTTAAAAATCCACATGCAGAGGTGTAAATGCAAAAATTTTGTATTATTTTAAAGAAAACCCTTTGAATTTTCATAAAACACTATTGAAAGTGTTTAAAATATCTGTATATGTTGTCTGTGTTATAATAAACACCTAAAAAAGAGGCGCTTTTTGTATTTTTTTCTTACAAAATTCAAATTTATAAGTGTACCTTTTAGATTGTGTGTGATCTAGCGTGCTGTAATTAATGTTGGTGGTTCCTGCACATGTCTGTAATCATAGGAAAAAAGAAAAATGTCTCCACCATAATCTATGCAAAAGTTATTGTATTCTAACTGATGAGGTGCTGTACAAGCCACAGGGAGCGATCATTGTTTTCATATTTCACTTTTCTTTAGTTTGATCAAACATAATTCACTGTGTTTGGACCACGTCAGACATATAAAAGGATTACTTATGCACATCAGCTCAAAAACAGAGGAGAATGACCCTGAAGCGCACAGCATAAGGTAAGAGATGACAGCTGTCTGTGCTATCTGGGGCTGCTTATTGATCATAAATGTATTGTTTTCACTTCAGCGCCATGGAAACATCGTGATTCATTCGGAAACTGTTTGATATGTGAATAAAATTCAGTAAAAAGAACGCTAGAACCGTATGAGCACCGGCAAGAGCTTTCATTTGAGCTATAACTTGTACATGTGTCATATGAAAATTATGAAAATGAACCAATGTAAAATACGTAGCTCCAGTATCCAAAATACTGTGTATTTAAGTGTAAATAACTTTTGTACAGTAGAATAAAAACCAAAGTGATGCATATGTGCATAAAATATAGATTATACACTTTCAAACGAAACCACTTACGGAGGTCTGGTGCAATGCTAGCCCTTTAAATCTTAAAGCGAAAGTCGATGACGTTACAGACCTGGTACCAGGTCCACAGAGTTTAACTAGTTAAGTACACCCATCGTAAATTAATCAGTCGCTTATAAAACAAACAAAGAAAATGTCGTATCTGTGACTGTTCTAATGGCAGACTTTGGAATTGCACACTCGTAAAATTACGAGTATATTTCGTTTTTCTTTACGATTTTATAATTACAGATGCGTGAATTTTATTTACGCACAAAATATTTATGACAGTGATTTTATTCAATACCCGATCAGGCCAGTAACCATACAGTCCACTGTCCCGAGTGTCTCATGCTAGCCAGGGGCCATCGGGCAGTCCTTATTGTCCAGCCCTGTCCTCGCACTACATGTTTGGGTAACTTTTACTCGAGCGTCATTTTTCCATACTCGTTCCACCACGGCATACTGTACCCGCCCATTTTGACTCATCTAACAAAAATAAAACGAGCAAAAAAGTCCCTCATTGAACTAGCCTTTATACACAACACATGAGTTATGCTCCGTCTCCTTCTCTCCTAAAACATTTCAGTGGCTCGTGATTAGACTGGAGTACTTAACCACAGCAGCTTATTCATCACAGAAAAGCCAAACATCCACAAACACACTCCAACGTCACACTAGAAAGTTCCTGTGAACTTCAAGAGCCCATTATGTCCTTAAAAGAGGCTTCCAGTTCCTCCCAGACCGCATCCGGTTTACTGGCCCTCTCTCTTTCAGAAAACAATACGTGTACACCGACGGCTAGCATTACGTGTAAATTATCTAGCCTGGCTGTAAAGCGTGAGGAAACTGTATCTGTGCGGAGGGCGAAAAGAGAGTGAAAGAGAGAAAACTGAATTTGCTTTACAGTAGCGCCGCGAATTCTCTATGGTTTACAGAGGAAACAGGAGAGAGGAGGACGCGTCAGGTGACAGACCTGCCCTGCGGCGCACACACACACACACACACCTGAGAGCACATATACACATGACAAGCTCAAACACAAATAAACATGAACTCCAGGACATTAAATACACATGTGGCACGTGATCTGTCCTAAATTAAACGGATATGCTTTAGAGACATAAAACTAGCAGGAGTGTGTGTATTTGTAGAAACTCACCGCATGAGCAGCAGGTGAAGCAGTTTGTATGATACAGGTTCCCCATCGCCTGACATGCTTGACTCGCTCCATAAACACCTTTACCACACTTTACACAGATACCTGCAGGAGAACACACACACACACAAGCATTACTCTCACAAAAATGGTTTCAATAGTCTTCACCAATTTGAATTTAAAAGTTTGAAAGATGTTTTGAAACCATTACGAGCTAAATTAATTTATAAATTCTAACATATGTTTATCATATTTGTTTTATTCTGATAAATATAATAATTAATGAAAAAGATCAATCTAAAGTAACAAATATCAACATATATAATAGTTTTGTTCTAATAATTATTAATGATTATTATGATTAATTATATATAACTAATAATATATCAAACGTAATTTATGAGAGGCGACACAGTGGCTCAGTGGTTAGCACTGTGGCCTCACAGCAAGGTCACTGGTTCGAGCCTCAACTGGGTCAGTTGGCATTTCTGTGTGGAGTTTGCATGTTCTTCCCATGTTGGCGTTGGTTTCCTCCGGGTGCTCTGGTTTCCCCTACAGTCCAAACACATGCGCTGTAGGGGAATTGATGAAATTAATTGGCCGTAGTGTGAGTGTGTGTGTGTGTGTGTGTCCCCAGTACTGAGTTGCAGCAGGAAGGGCATCCGCTGAGTAAAAGATATGCTGGAATAGTTGGCGGTTCATTCCGCTGTGGCGACCCCTGATGAATAACGGGACTAAGCCAAAGAAAAATGAATGAATTAACTTAATTAATAATAATCACGTACTTATTTACTTTATATTAGTATATAAGTAATCATGTACTTATTTTATTAAGCTGTATTTGAAAGTGTTATCAGGTATGGTCTATCTGCATGGTATGGCAATCTCTCTGTAAATCTGAAATCAAAAATTTTTAATATTATCAGAACTGCTATGAGACTAATAGGATCTAAAAACCTTTACTACTATACAAACACTCTACGAGCAATGCACTCTGAATGAAGCGAAAATAGTTTTAAGTAACCCGTCTCATGTACTCTTTCCATTTTACGACCTTCTGGTAGAAGATACAGAACTTTCCGCTGGAAGCGAAACAGCCTTAAGAACTCTTTTATTCCAGTGTCAATCAGACTGTTGAACTCTGATCAATAATGTATGTAATTATTTTCCATGTTGGCTTATTTGTAATTGTCATTGTGTCAGAACCTGCTGAAGTGCTGTGTGAGTCCACAGAAAATTTCTCCTTGAGGGACAATAAAGTATACAAACAAACAAACAATACATTAATTTTATCAATAACATATATCAATAAACACGCAGAGTGCTGTCGCCTCACAGCAAGAAGGTCGCTGGCTCCAACCTCGGCTCAGTTGGTGTTTCTGTGTGGAGTTTGCATGTTCTCCCTGCCTTCGTGTGGGTTTCCTCTGGGTGCTCCGGTTTCCCCCACAGTCCAAAGACATGCGGTACAGGTGAATTGGGTATGCTAAATTGTCTGTAGTGTATGAGTGTGTGTGTGTGAATGTGTGTGTGGATGTTTCCCAGAGATGGGTTGCGCCTGGAAGGGCATCCGCTGCGTAAAAACTTGCTGGATAAGTTGGCGGTTCATTCCGCTGTGGCGACCCCGGATTAATAAAGGAACAAAGCCAACAGGAAATAAACACGCAGACACACACACACACACACACACACACGCACAAGTAGGTACTTTGCAACTATAAATACTCAATTTGGTGTAAAACCACTCACAAGGTAATTTTCAATGAAATTTATAGGACCAAATATAAACCCAACATTTGAGTATGTCAATATAATTGTTTTATGTGTTTCAGAATTATAAATGAATGAAATAATTGACCTTAAAATCACATCGAATCCTTTTTTTTTTTTTATTTGTACTTTGTAATATGTGAATTTAAGACTTAATTTAAAACAAAAAATTAGTTTTTCCATTTTTAAGACGCCACATCATAAACTCTTACTAGAAAACATTACACAAATTACATATATTATATCAGAGCATACTTTAGAATTAATTAAAAGGGAGAAGAAAAAGTATCAACCATTATGAACCTATTTAACTTATTCAAACATGTAATAATTAAAAATACAACATTTTGGGGCCAGCTTCACCAGTCGATTAATTGAAGTTTCCTTTTTTGTTTATGTTCAAAAAAGTACTTAAAGAAATAGTTCACCCAAAAAAATTATTTATTCACTATTATGTATTAATCCTCAAGTGGTTTCAAACCTTTATAAGTTTTTTTATTCTGTTGAACACAAAAGAGGGTATTTTAAAGAAAGCTGAAAACCGGTAACCAATGACTACTATAGTAGAAAAAACAAATACTATGAAAGTCAATGGTTACAGGTTTCCAGCATTCTTCAAAATATCTTCTTTTTCAACTCTTGAAACAAATAAAGGATGAGTAAATAATGACAGAATTTTAAATTTTGGGTGAACTTCCCCTTTTAAACTTGCTGTATAAACAGACAGCAATTCAATTATGCATTAAATAAACACAGATTGTGGGAAAGAGGGATTTACGAGTGATTTAAAGTTTAAAAGTTCATCAGGCATCGCTCAGTAGTTATACATCAACTGCTGGGCATCATGGGAGAGTGAGTCAGCAGCACTAATGCCTGCAGACTTTGGCTCAAGATGGCCTTCGCTGGGGTCACATTCCAGCTGGGGCCACTGTCGGCACCTAGACGTGGTCACAGTGAGGTCATCAGTGCATCATCATCACCCTGACCAATGACCAGACACTGGCCACGTCAATTCACCAACAAACTGATAACCAGACACAAGCTTTCGGGAAAGTCTGTTTCCAAAACTGTTTGATAAGACACTGCGCTTCTATCAGATTTTCTTGCTGCGGTTAACTCTTTCCTTGCCAGCATTTGATTTATTGATTTATTTATGTATTTATTCTAAGGCTGTACGATATTGGGAAAATCTTAAATTGTGATATTTTGTTTTTCTGATCTAAATATAATGGATTTGAATAGCTCTATTTGGAAAGATTTTATTAATTTAGATCTACTGGGATGACCAAGTCTTTTTCTATGCAGTGCATCTGCATAAATTATAATGAATTACAAGCAAAAACGGATGGGTCAGTTGGCGTTTCTGTGTGGAGTTTGCATGTTCTCCCAGTGTTGGCGTGGGTTTCCTCCGGGAGCGCCAACACGGGGAGAATATGCAAACTTCACTCAGAAATGTCTGAAAACTGATTACAAATTATTATAAAATAATTTGTGGAAAAATAAGAAATATATTTTGTAAGTAATGAAATTAGGCTTCAACTTCAATATGTCAAGTTTTTTACTATTATTTTATTGCTTAGATCTAACAAAAAACATACTCAGCAATAGCACAGCACTTCTCTTTTTACGATCCATTCATGTCTGGAGCACAAACACTACAGTGTGAGCAACACAAAGTACAATGCTTAGCGTTTAGCTCAAATTCATTCATCATTAGGATGAGATAGAGGAGTGATGCTTGATTGAAAACATCAGTAATTATATAGTATGTCGCTCAAAACAGTGCAAAAATGTGCTGCTGACTGTGAACAGAAGCGAGAGACACACATGTAATGAGGAAATGAGGAGGGTTGGCAACTCAACAAGACTCATCCTCGATACACACACTCCTCTCACCTGGTACACCCTGGTACCAATTCCTTTAGAGCCCGTCAAAGAAACACTGCTGTCTGCTCTTGATACAGAATGAGAGTTTGGGTTCACATGAGGCCAATAAATATACAAACTAACTTTGCCATCTGAATAAACAAAGAGCACTGGTCGCTCACTTACCAAATCTGTAGAGACAGAACAAGCAACAGCAACTAGAGCCGCGTCTTTATTAAGAGGAGACGAGCAGCAAATTCGGGTCTCACCATTTGATTGGTTTGAACCAAGCCTTACTCATGCATTAATGCAGCACACTCTGAGATGTAATACGGTACTCCCAGGTACAGACGTCCACGCTAAGATCTCATGGCTGTGACGCAACTTGAAAAATTTGTTTCAAACCGGAAGTACGAATTTGCTCAAAATAACGCAAAAACAACCAATTTTTACATTGAAGTGAAATAAATGTGTCCTAATAGTGTTTTTAGCAGTGTGGGACACATATACGACGGTCAACAGCTCAAAACATGTGTTTAGGTGTTTCCTGACCCTTTAAGAAAATCAGAGCACATCACACCTGTCCTCAGGTCTTTACACTGGCTGCTAGTTACATTCAGAATAGATTTTAAAGTATTATTACTGGTCTATAAATCACTAAATGGCCTAGGACCTAAATACATTACAGATATGCTCACTGAATACAAACCTAACAGATCACTCAGATCATTAGGATCATATAAACTAGAAGTTCCAAGATTTCATTCAAAGCAGGGTGAATCGGCTTTTAGCCACTATGCCCCCCGCTGCTGGAATCAGCTTCCAGAAATGATCAGATGTGCTCCAACATTAGGCACATTCAAATCAAGACTGAAAACACACCTGTTTAGCTGTGCCTTTACTGAATGAGCCCTTTGCTCATGTTTTTCTCTTCTTCTTCATTCTTTTATATCACATTTTACATTTTTATTATTTGTTTTTATTTTTATTTTACTTGTTTCTTTTATTCTTGTTTATGTAAAGCACTTTGAATTGCCATTGTGTATGAAATGTGCTATATAAATAAACTTGCCTTGCCTTGCCTTGCCTTAAGAACTTGCTTATACCTACACATAATATGAAGGGCTCTATTTTGACGGTCCATGCACAGAGCTTTTAGGGCGTGTCAGAACGCATTTTTGCTAATTTACGGACGGGAAAATCCACTTTGCGCTAAGGCGCATGGTCTAAAAGGGTTGAGTTTATTTTCTTAATGAGTTATAGGTGTGTTTTGAGAATAAACCAATTAGAGTCTCATCTCCCATTCCCTTTAAGAGCCAGCTGTGTCGCGCCAAGAGCGCATTCACTATTTACAGGACGCAAAGTAAGTCTAAGTGGAAAAACTGAGCATTTCACTAGCAAACAGTTAACAGTTGACAGTTTTTTTTTAACAGAAAACTGTTAAACAGAGCATCTACTGCGTGAGAATGAGA